GACCGGTTGTGCCGGAGACGGTTAAAACTCGGAACACCTGGCTTCTGCGAGCTACCCCCTCCTAAAACCCTGCCCTATCAATTAAGCACATGGTCTCTTGCTTCCGAACAATAATAAATTCGTGGGCCACCGGAACACCGTTCTCACTTTTGCCAGACCGGGTGTTCCTGCATTCACTTAGGGGTGATACGTCGGTTTGTATGTGACTATAAAATATTTTTTACCATCCGCCGCCGTCGTTTTATTGATTAACTCCAAGGGTACTAGGTTATCGATGATCAATTGTACACATTCTAGTTTTTATTAGGTACTCAATGATAGCAAACTATCAAAAAAATAGATGAAATCTAAATATTTTAACAAACAAATTAAAAATTCAAGACATCCCACGAATGAACGTTGATATTTTCAAATTCAATGTTAGTTTCAGAGGCAGAGTCACATTTAAGGGACTCCCAAAAGGAGCAAATTATAATGAGTGAGATCGACAAACATTGTCAAGTTATGGTAGATCGAAAATTTGTTTTAAATTTTTATATGGTAGTATGTTATCAAAAGTATTATTATTATTGTTAACGACAATAATCACAAATATAAAAGGTTTTATTGAATTTTAATTTGAGGTTAAGAATAAGGTCGTTCATCGTTTCCTCAAAAATTGACCATATAGTTTCCGTCAAATCTGAATAAGATCGATTATTCGTTGCTGCTAAACCGATAGTTTATACCAGTCTACAAATAGAAGCTTGAGAACCACTGGTTAAAATATTTGCTAAAGTAACTTAATCGACAATTATATTTTTGAGGAAAGCAATGATCTTTCAAAATTTGGGAGTTGATGAATCCCTCATTAGCCCTGACAACAAATAATTGGGAATCGTTTCGCTCACGTTTTAATGAACGATTTTATAAGGCCCATCATTCAATTAATATATTTTTAATTGAATTTTTATATGTATTCAATTTCAATACATTTCAATAGAAAATGTTCGTATTCATAATTAAATTAAAATATATAGTCGTGATAATACACTCTCAAAAATGCACGGAATAAAATTGAAATCTATTTAAAAATAAAACAATAAAGGCAATCGATAAATTTAATAAATATGAAATTAGCCGATTTGAATTTGTATAATTAGTTTCCAATGACTATTGATAAATTTATAGATAATTAATGTATTTTATATTATTTTATTACACATAATAGTCATTTTTAAATTTAATATTAATATTTAAATTTTGTTTCGATGTCTTGAAGACTTTTTATTTCCTTAAAAACTATATTTTTATTATTTATTACAAAATACATACTCAGAACAACTATCTATTATGATTTATTTACCATTGGTAAAACGTTATATTTTATTTATAAAGTTGTATCTATGTCATAAAATAAGTAATTATTCAAAACGACGTGACTGTGACAGTAACTAAGAGATGTTTAAGAAGACGAACATTGTTATAGGAGAATCTCATTTGTTGGTGATAGGAACAAAATATTGAAAAAAATTACTTTTTTTTGCTCATTAATATTATTAAAGAGCGACTTTGAAAAAATTTTTGGGGTCAAATTTTTGTAGCCACGTCATATTGTTCGTATAGTAATATAGTACGAAAACATAATTAACTTAATAAAAAACTGTTAACTTATAATCAAATAAGTTTGAAGATTTTTTTTGGATCCCTTCATAAAATATAGGCCTTAATCAGAGAGTTGATTTTCGTAACTGAAAATATAAATATGTATTTTTAGCTTGATGAGTTATTTAAATAATTTTAATGTATAAAATTTTAATTTTGTTTTTTAAATTTATTAACTTTTCTTGTTAAAAAAAAAAAATTTATCATTTATTCTCCAGGTACACTTTTGCTTTAAAATCACATTGTATTTTTGGTATGCGCTTGATCAAATATCTAATTAATTTTGTCCTAGAAACACCAGACTTAAGCGTAAATCCTAATGCTCTTGGAAAACAAACAATATATCCTTAAAACTTTACTGTGTACTATACTTTGAGATGAAATTATAAATTTACGTTATCTTACTTTTTTAAGTATCATTGTAATTATAAATAAACAGATTAGCATTGATGACTGGAAGTAATTAAATTTTAAGTAGAAGAATGTAATGTAGACAATGTTCAAAAAGCTGTACTGAAATGCTTTATTAAAATAGATTACCATAATTACTACATCTAAGTAATAAGCAGATAAAGGAGGCTTAGGCAACGTAAGACATTAAAAACCACAATATGAAATTAATTGTTAGGATTTTAAACAAGTCTAAAGTAAAAATATTTTTGTTTGTTTATCTTATTATCTCACAAAAATCTAGATTACTATTTTGGTAAGCAACTTTATCAACATGTAAAAAAAAATAACTTCTAAGAAAATTTAGAAAAAATTTAAATTATCTAAATAATTATTTTCCAAGTAGCACAGTTGGTTATTCTGAATTTTAATGGCCTTGAAAATTATTGTTAAATACATTTAATAAAAAGTTTTAATTTGTAAGTGCAAGAATAAAAATATTTAAAATCAAATAAGTCTCCCTTGAAGCACTTTTGAAAAAATAATTAATATCCTTACAAAAAATGTCCATAATATGTTGTTTATTTATTTTGTTTTTAGTACTTAATACTTTAGCTACTAATTAATAAAAAACCTTTCTTTGAACTTATTTTTTAGAAATAATTTGTCTTTTAACTTATCTAACTTTAAACTATTTTTTATTTTAAGTTTCTTTGTAAATAAATTTTACTATTTTAATGAAAAAAAAAAAATTTCAGGTTTTTGTATATTTTCTTTTAATATCATTATATTTACAGTGTTTTTACAAGTAAATATACATTTTACTCTAATTTTATGAACATCTTATGATTTAAAACATGCTCAATATAAAATTGACTAGGTACTTTCAGTAAACTATAGATTACAAATTACATTTAACTTTTCAATTAATACATTTATAACAATAACAAACCTTCTCAATCATATGATAAATATTGATCCTCTGTGACATTAAAAATTACTGCATGAATCATAATATTATTTTTTATTAATGTAATTGTACAGGAACGATAGTAGTACATTTGGTAATTTTCATTTCTTGAACTTGGTCTCCAGTTTTCTTACTGCCATAAATATTGGATTCCATGACCGCACTAGAAGGAATAATACACCACCAAAATAGATGTTTGTCAAAGTGTTTGCGAAATGTTCGACTAACCACGTACAACGCTATTGGATTTATACACGAGTTGAAAAAACCTAAACAAAAACCTACAATACGCAGCACATGCCAAAATGTATTATACTCTTCAGTAGACTTGGGATTGTTGTAAAACCATAGCATAAAGACGTGATGAGGTAAAAAACAAATAGCAAACATCAATGCAAAAGCCAAAACAGTTTTTGCTACTTTTTTTCGAGCTCTCACTTGACGCATTTGTCCCTACACAAAATTAAAAAATATATGCATAGTTTAATTATAATGTAAAACACATTGGAGTTGAAGTAAATTTCAATAAACACGAAAAACGATGTCTAGTCGTGTACACTTACATTTTGTGTAAAAATTCATACAGTCGTATCGTTTATTAAAAGTCTATTCTACTTATTTTAAGGTTTATTCTATTTTGAAAAATCCTTTGTCCATTTACAAAATCGTCTTTAAAAAAAATGCTCAAATACTAATAATTTGTGTGAAAAATGTATCACAATGAAGATATTGTACCATTCTTATGACAATTTTATAGAATCATTAAGAGTAGATATAAGAGCATATTTAAAGAGTATAATATTTTAATGTGATGCTAAAAGGGTTATAAGCATTATAATATTAGTTAACGTTACTATAATATGATCAGAAATACATATAATTTTGCAATCTATCTGAACGAATTAGAACATGTTGAGCAAGTGATGAACCGTCGAAAGATATAATTTAACATTTATCAACTTTTACCTGACTTTTGAGATAGTTAAAATAGTAGCATACAGTTTATTCGTGACGATTTCAGTGGAATTCGACTAAAAAGAAAAATCTGAATTCCAAAAAGATTATGATTTTGTAAAATGTGAATTAGGTTCAATTGGGCTAGCAAAAGAATTAGGACTAGAAATAAGCTTATACCCGACGAATTTATTTAGACGTGTCTTATAAATCATTTTAGTTTTTAGAATACATTATCATATATAAACAATAAATTTTAGTTTTAATAGTTATTTAAAAGACATTTTGTTCTCGGCAAAAAATGTCTAGTGAATCTTTTTAAATCATAGTTATAAATGTTATTTTACTACTTTTTATTTTCATTACTTGCNTATCGTTTATTAAAAGTCTATTCTACTTATTTTAAGGTTTATTCTATTTTGAAAAATCCTTTGTCCATTTACAAAATCGTCTTAAAAAAAAATGCTCAAATACTAATAATTTGTGTGAAAAATGTATCACAATGAAGATATTGTACCATTCTTATGACAATTCTATAGAATCATTAAGAGTAGATATAAGAGCATATTTAAAGAGTATAATATTTTAATGTGATGCTAAAAGGGTTCTCGGCAAAAAATGTCTAGTGAATCTTTTTAAATCATAGTTATAAATGTTTTTTTACTACTTTTTATTTTCATTACTTGTAATATAGTTTTTTATAAAATTGTTTTCTTAATTATTTTATTTTAATTGAACATCTTTCACTGTAATATTTTTATTAATTTATTATATTTATCCATTTTTTTTTATATTAAAAGAAAAATGTTACTTTCGTTAAAACGTGTTCAGTTTTTACGGAAATTGTACAACTAGTTATATTAAACTCAACACTAAATGAAGTTGTTGGTATAAATAAATACTTGCAATACATTATTAAGTATTTTATACAATTGTATAATACAATTTTTCTTATAAAAAAAAACGGATATTTAAAATACTACTTTCAATCAGTTCCTTAAACTTCCTTAATTACAATAGAATAAACAAATATTGAACTCACTTGGAATTCCCCTGGCATGTTCTTTGCAGTATGCATCAAATGACGGGCGATCATAATGTAGAAACATGCAATGATAGTCAATGGAACAGCGTAATAAACTAGGAATTTAACGAGCACCATGACTCGCGGGTATGCAGGTCCCATTTCTTCGGGATACGGATAGCACACCTCGAATAATACAACGTTGTGCAATCTGAATTGTCTAATGTACGAAAACACGGCGTCTGGTGTTGCACACGCTATGGCTAATGTCCAAATAGTCATAGTTACGGTAACAGTAAATCTTGTAGCGAATCTACCGCCCAGTGAAGCATGTAGTTTTCGCATAGGGTTCACTATAGCAAAGTAGCGATCTGCACTTAACGCTGTAAGCGTAAATACCGAAACACCAATCGATATATCTTTGATGGCTTCTGACAACTTGCACACAATCAGACCATATGGCCACGATGGAACCTACAAATTTAACCTTATTTTATTTTTCAGTTCATAATTTTTTCTCTAGTTATTGAGTCTATACATGTTTTGACTTAAGACAAGTGCACTCGTGAAAACATATATGTCGAAACACTTAATAAATAAATAAAACAAACTTAATATTTTTTATAAGTGTACGAGTAAAATGTCAATTTACGAACATAGCTTGTTAAAATAAAGCTTCGCGATATTCTTTTGATAACTCATTGTATTTATTTAATAACATTAAGACAACAAAAATCAATTAATAACAGTGGCGTATTTTAAAGGAACCGATAGGCGTGACGCCTTTTAGACATGTAATAACTCATATTTGATGGAACCGGTATAATTTTGTACGTATATTTTTTTATGCGAGTTTAAAAAAATGATTATTTTCATATTTATGGTAATAGAAAAACAGGCACCACGTTACTCCTTAAGGAGGCTATTACCTAGATAATATCTATATACGCCTTTGCAATACAAAAAATCTTTAAAGAAACTTATAAAATATCAGGAATATATAATTTATTTATTTAATACTTTTTTAATAAAAAAATATGGAAACACAAATCAATTATAACTATACTATAATAATTGTTGACGACCATGAAACTTGATGCAAATTCATTACGGAATTGAAATTTAGAATGCAAAATGACAGCTTAAGGAATACAATCAGTCGGCAGTAGACAGTTGTGTGAAACTCGCAAAATTAAACTAAGAGATAAAATATTGGTGTAATTTTTCATATGTTTTATTATAACTAACATTGAACGTAACGATTTTCATTAAAATATTACTCGCCCTAATAGTTTTAAGCTTCAAGTATAAGTAATAGCTATGAATATTTAAGTGCTAAAAACTCGCTCATTGTCCATTGAAGAATATGAAATAAAACAAGTTTTGATGAAATTACATTCCCAAGAAATAATTTTTTTTCCAAAGAGCGAAAAATGTATTTTTATTATTTATAATAATTTTGTTCTAGTAGTGCCGGAAAATCAAAAGTCAAATAATCAGATATTACAACTTGCTGGGTTAAACTTAAACAAGAAAACAATAAATAAACATGTAAGTATAATTGCACGTGTTAACTTTATTAATTACCGTGTACACAGTAGAAGTGAACGGTACAACAGTAGCAATCACCAATAAATCGCCAAGAGCTAAACTGAGTATATAAGTGTTTGGAACGTTTCGCATATGCTTATGCCTCGCGATTATTAAAACTAGCGTACCATTGCCAATGGTCCCAATGACAAATATAAGAGCGAACAGCATTGGCACAATATAAGTTTCCGGCCTGTCCGCATAAGTATAGTCGAAATCATCCACCGAAAGTGAAATGTTCACACTGATATTTGTCATGTTTCTGACAAGTCGAAGCCGATTCCTATAAAAAAACACGTACTCTTAACACTTATGAATTAATTATAGTAAATGAAAAATTGACATTTTTTGTGTGTGTTCAAAATAAATATACATTCATAAAACTACAGCAAAAACTTTAAATCGTAATATAAATACTTCAATAAAATATATTATCGAGGTAATCATTTTATTTTAATGATTGTTACAATTTTTTTAGTAATGTTAAATATTATTATTTAATCCAAGCTGGTGTTCGTTTTTATAGTCAATGGAGCACTAAAACAATATCTAATGAAAAAATTGATTTTGTCGTCTAAAAAAATTGTTAAGCTCTCATTAAAATAACATGGAAATTTATATTACAATATTTATTGTAAAAATAATATATATATACATTCTGTTTAAATTTTATCATGAAGTAAAATGAATTTATTTTAATAACTATTATACGTATTATGAATCAAGTAACTTCAAAAATTCTGTGTCATCTTTTTACCTCAAGTCTTCCTAACCATTTTGTTATATTAATCCGTCGTCTGTCCCTCTTCCACAAATGACTTTACAATAGTGTAACCATTTATTAGTATCATTTAATTTATTTGATAAAATTGACCACGTTGAAGAATAATTTAACATATAAGTTATTACAGTTTATAACTTATTTGCATTGGTTAAATGAAGTTACAAAAGTAAAATATAAAAATCTCAAAACAGTATCACAGAACCGTAAACATTTTTTTAAACTTTATTACGGAAACTGGATATTGTTTTTTCTAGTCGCACAATAGTGAACGAAAAACTCGTCTATGCACTACGAACTTATAAAATAACTTCCGCATTAAAGTGCTTAGGACGAATCTTATGTTTTTACTTTTTTATACCTTATGTATTGACCCACCTTATACGTCAACCCCACTTCTCGTTAACCTATATTGTTATTATTTGCTGATTATCAATAAATACAAAAATTTCTGTATACTATTGTCATTGTTTACAATCATTTTTGCCAATACGTCTGTCATACGGTATACGTGTACATAAAGTATATAATTTACATTTTTAACATAAAAAACATAATAATAAACAAAATTTAAGTTTCAATAATCTAATAATTTTGTTAAATTATTAAACTTCATATATTTAGCTTAGTATAAAATAGTGTTTTTAAGTTAAGTTTAATGTATTTTATAAAAATCTAGATAACATTAAATAGTATAAGAATCAATCACTTGTGGCTAAAATTATTTCAAGTTAAAAATATATTTAAATAATTAACTTAAAACAAATGAACACATACTGTCAGCATGAGCTTACCACAGATAACTGTAACATTGTTCTCAAAATACGGAAAAAGTACGCGATTTTTTAGTAATTTTTGTGGTATTTTTAATTATATATTTTTTAGTAGTACATTAATATTTTAAACATATTTTTAATTTTAAACATTAAATAATTATTTATTTTTATAAATGTATAACCTAATTTTGATAAACAAATAAATTTTTGGTTTATGTGGTTTTTATGGAATTCTCATTCTACCAAAAAATATGTACGAAATTATTTGATGTGTAAGATAAATTTTCGGGACTGAACATAATTAGCTAAATTTAATTATTTTTTTGCTTTAATATTGTTTTAGTCATTTCCATAATCATATTTCAAAATAGTATTAATATAATATTGACGTTATCATTTGGTGATAAGGTATACAAGGGAGTATTTTTCGGTCGGATGTCAGTATATATTTAGTGCTACTGATAGTGTCACTGTTCCCCAAATAAGTTTATTTTAATTTATCTATATTTGGTGGCATATTTAGCTAAATATTTTTTTGTTTTAAATTAATATTTAAACATATTTTTGTTAATAATTTTTAATATAATATAACAAAATTAAGTGACAAAATCTTTAATTAATTATAAATAAAGTTCTATGGATAATAATTTTTTATAAATACTTACTTAAGTCTTGTCAAACCAATTTCCGATTAGTATTCATGTTAAATATAAGTGTTGATAAAGTTCATTGTATTATTACTTCTTTATTTGAGAAAATAGCTTTTGCTAATTTCACATTTTTAATATTAAATTTTGCCACGAAGAAACTTATTAGCTTTATTCCATTCTGTAAAATAGTAAAACTCCAATTTCCTTGGATTTAACAACATTAGGGAGACTAAAATTACCTATGGAAATATTATTAGTATTATTATTAGTAGAAGTATTGTTAACACTTTTGTATTCTCACGTGAGTTGGTTTTGAAACTCAATGTATTCGTAATGTTGATATGTTAAAATATTTCACGGTTTTTTATTTCAAGACAACAGTGTATTTACTTAAGTAATAAAATTACACTTTGCTGACAAGTTTAAAAAAGTTACTATAATAATATAATAAATTTTTATTATAAATGAACATACCTAATGCATTAATATATTCTCATTGAATCAAATACGTAAAAAAGAGCTTTTAATTCATAAACAATTCTATGGTTGAAATTCACAGGAAATATGTTGTTATGTTGCATAATACGTGAAGGGTCTTAACAGAAGAGGTAATGAACATTATCTGGTTAGAAATAATAACGTGAAATTAATTTGATGCAATCATAACAACACGCTTTTATGTAGTATTGTAGAGGAATACAATTTTTTTGTATTAAACTCATTATGAATATGTTTCAATTTGTTTTCTCAGTTAACTAAAAGTTAATTAGAAACAAAAAATCTACCCTAAAATTAAAAAAATATTTCTTGTTTAAAACTTTTATTTAGATTTTTTTAGGAAAAAGAAAGGGAAAATGTTTAAATTGTAGTTTATTAAAATGACAAATCAAATAAAGAAACACATTAATTCAAGTTAACAAAATTTAAGCAATTGTTTACATTTTTGAACCTAAAAAGAAAAAAGATAAATGAAAAAATATGGCGTTAAGAAATCTAATTATAACAAATTATTTATGAATTACAAAAGTTTATTTCTTTTTTTAAGCAAGCAAACACAAATGATTTGTATTACCTACATAATACATTTTATTTCTAATATTACACTTTTGTAACAGTTCCTTTTTATGGTTAGATTTAGACATTAAGATGAATTTTCTACACTCCTTATTAACTCAATAATATCTTACACATTTAAACCAAAAAAGAAAATATGTTAAGATGTTTGAAATAAGGTTGTTGAAAAACAAATAGCACGTACAAAAATCATAAAAAAAAAATTTTTACTAATAGTAAAAAAAAAAGTTTATGTACATAGAATACATAATTTAACCTTTATTTACATAAATAAAATTATTTTTAATCAGCAAAAATCTTTTTCAAAAATCAATCTTACCGAGTGATTTGTATGTATCTATTTAAAACACGATTTATGTTTTGATCGCCATACAATCATTAAGCTTAAATCCATTTAATCTGAAAGTTGAATTTATTATTATATTAATAAAAAAACTCAGTTTAATTATTATCCAGTATATGCTAAAATCCGAGGTGAATCAAATAATCATCAAAGACACTACTGAATATTTTCAATTAGACAGTTTTTTATTAGCATTTCTCTACTTTGTTAAATACTGGAAAAAATCTTTGAAAGAGTAATATCATTCAAAAATGAACTATTATACAGAGTGTAACAAAATTAATATAGGTATTTAAAGTTATGTATTCGTAATTAATAATCTAATTGTAATTTTTAAATTTTGTTCCTTTAAATTGCTCTATATTATTATATAAAGGCATATTGAGCTTTTTACTTGTACAATATCTTAATACAATAATATCTACAATGTTTAATCTCCACTTAAGCAATATGAATCAATTGACAGTGATCCAACTAAAAAGGATATTCCAAATTGCAACTAGTAGAAGTAATTTGTAAATACAGGGTGGCCCACCACTCACTGACAACTTAAATAACTTTTGATCCAGTTAATATTTTCAGCAGATTTCTTTTTTAAATATTAGTTAGACTTTAGGTCTATAGCTATATCTCAATAATTAATATTTTTACATTTTATTAAAAATATTAATTATTTTTAAATTTTAAATAAAATGTAAAAAAAAAATCTAAGATAGCTATTTTGTAGAGTAGAATTTAAGAAAAATTTTAGTAAAAAAATATCTTATTAATATTCAGTAGTAAATATTCTGTAGCGTTTTGAAGTTTGTAAAAATTTGAATTTTCATGTACTATTTTACGGTTATAAACATTGAAATACGTATTGAGAAAAGGACAGAAGAAAACGCTATCTTTTCATGATTACTGTGTATACATATGATGATAGTGTGTATACATTACAAACTTGGCATAAATACCATGATAAGAAATTAGATAAGGCAATTATTACTTATCACTCTCATTCAAAAGTATATTGAAAAGATAGCGTTTTCTTCTGTCCTTTTCTCAATACGTATTTCAATGTTTAATACCGTAAAATAGTACATGAAAATTCAAATTTTCACAAACTTCAAAACGCTACAGAATATTTACTACTGAATATTAATAAGATATTTTTTTACTAAAATTTTTCTTAAATTCTACTCTACAAAATAGCTATCTTAGATTTTTTTTTTACATTTTATTTAAAATTTAAAAATAATTAATATTTTTAATAAAATGTAAAAATATTAATTATTGAGATATAGCTATAGACCTAAAGTCTAACTAATATTTAAAAAAGAAATCAGCTGAAAATATTAACTGGATCAAAAGTTATTTAAGTTGTCAGTGAGTGGTGGGCCACCCTGTATACCTTTACACATAATCCCAGTTATATTTAGCAACACATATGGTGAATTAGCAAATCATCATATATTTTAAGCATGCCTTAAAATGTACCCTCATTACAAAATATATAAGTAAGTCTTGTTTTAAATTTATTTTGATTATTACTAATAATTATGTTAAGAAAATTATTTTTGATATTTTTTAGTTTCATATACCTTATAAGGATGTTTACTTAATTTTTTAAATAATAATAATAGTTAATTAGATCATTTTTCAATTTTAACTACTATAACTATAGCATTGTAAAATTGAAAATATAAAAAATAATTTTTTTACAAAAATCTTATTAGCTTCGATGCAAAGCTGAGGAGGTATTAATTTTACTATGATGTGTTTTTTTTATATATTTTTTTTTGCCACTTTTCTCAGCTCTCACAGAACCGATTTCTTTCAACAATACGTTAAAAGATCACAAATCTTATCTAGTCAAAAACATTACCCTCAAAAATTGATAAAATTTACCTCGTTCCCCGTAAATGGGGGAAATCTCCAAAAAAATTATAATTTTAAAAATCGCTAATTTTCAACATTTATTTTACTTAAAACTGCCATAACTTTTTCAAACATGATCAAATCAAAATAATTTTTTTATAGATGCATGATATTTTTACCTATTATTTGGTATATTTTTTTATAAATATGACCCTTTACCTGCCCACTGAGAAAATGACAACTTTTTAACAAAAGATTAACTTTTTCAACTTAACTTTTGAAAGTTTTTTGGAAACACTAACACTTTTATATATATCTTAAATTAAAGCTAATGTAATATACTTTATTATGGAAAAAAATATTTTGGACTTTATTTTGTCGTCACGATGAAAATGGCTACTGTATGCTATTTTTGTGTGAAAATTCTCGATTTTATATTTTACATGTTTGACTTTACATGACTTTTTAAAAAATGTATGGATCAACACAATTTTTTTTGAGAAATAATATTTATATACATCATTTATTCGACATACTTTATTTAAAATCGAACCATTTCTCTTTATNACAATTTTTTTTGAGAAATAATATTTATATACATCATTTATTCGACATACTTTATTTAAAATCGAACCATTTCTCTTTATTCAGGGGTGTTCAAAACTTAAAAATGCATATAGAAAGTAAATCTTTTTCAACTTAATTTTTGAAAGTGTTTCGGAAATATTAAAGTAGTTAATGTAAAATCAAGTATACTTCTTAAATTTTTTTTAAAAAAGGTAAATAATGTAAACAAATATTTGAGTTAGCTTATAACAAAATAAATATTTGAAATAAAAGAACACTATTAACAGGATTATTTTTTAAATAAAGGAAAACTTTCGTCAAAATTGATCACTAGTATTTATTTTTGACTTTCATAATTATTTTTTTGATTTTTTGTTTCTGTAAAGTTAAATATTGGTATTATAGGAAATGATTAGTATTTTAGGATATAAGATAAAGGAATATTATTTGTAGATAATTAAATTTTAGTTATTTTTGTTTCTTAACATGTTTTACCATTTTAATATTTGCAAAGTTATCGACAATTATATGAGAATTTCCAAAATAAATTTTCCACATGTTTACGATATCTTTTTGACCTCAAATTTTAAAGAGATCATTCGTAGACTAGTTAAAAAAGAGGTAGTCTGAGGAAATCGAATATTTATGAAATTCCTGGCATCCTAATGCGTATGCTTTTATTTAAATGGTAAATTTTGTGTATTTTTTACCTAAAAAACATTTAATTAAAAATAAATTTTGACTTACACATGGTAATAAAAAAAGTTAGATGTAAAAAAAATTATTTTTCATTGCAGAATTTTATGTTAGATTTGATTAGAGTCATTCAATTGTAAAAGTCATCTAAATTTGAATTCCATAAAATTTGGGTTTGCATTTATTAAAGAAGGCAACAAGCTTGTAACATGATAAAATTAATTACATCACTATCAATCACTTGTAAATTAGATTTTAAAATATTTAAAAAGTTGTACTTACTAATGAAATAGAAAAAACAAACCAATGAAAAAAAACACGTGAAATACATAATAACAGTGAATATTAAAATAAATATTTTTCAACTTAAATAAACAGCAGCAATGCTTATGTCCGAGTCACTCGATGTAACTGTACAGAGTTTTATCTGAAGGGGTGGGTTGTGTATAAAATCAGCCCGAAAACTTCCGAACATTTCCGGTAAGAATCGAACCTTTTTTTAGCATAAATTCTTTGAAATACATTTAAAATATTTTAAAGAAGTATCGAAAATATTTGTTACACTCCAATTGAATTGTTTACTGTGACGTGTTCATAAATTTAAAAAGCATTATTAAATTTTAAATTGTATAATTTATTAGTTTCAAAATACAATTTTTAATTATTTTAACTAAAAGGATTTAATCAAATTTTATTTTGTATGAAATTTAAATTATTTTTTTTTAAATTTTCAAGTTTACAAAAACTTAGCATGGTTTGGGATCGTCTCATAGTTGGGACAAGTATATATAATATCTGCCAATGATTAACATGACTATAATAAAAAACATTTCAATGCAAATCTGTTAGATTTCATAATAATTTGTATATTTGTAATTTTAAAATTACTAAATTTTAAATATTCATAATTTGACGGCCTATTATTTCTCATAGTAGAACAATCGTGAGATGATTTTTTAAAAATATTTTAGTACACTTCAAGAGCTTTAATTTATTTCGAGTTAAATATTATCAGACCTAACGGGATATTTTCAAAAATAGAGTTGAAAACATTATTTTTATATGCGACGGTGATCTCTTTGAAACCCTTCCTGTATCTCAGTTTTTCATTGGATTTTCATAAAATGTATACAAAAAAGAAATTTGGTAGTTTCTTGTATATTTAATTAGAATCAATGTTATAACAAAGGTGCAAGAATTATTTTTTTTAACATTTCTAAAATATTCTAGTTTTTTATCAAATTTTCGACATTTGTAGGTTCAACTAGTTTAAAATCTGATTATTGTCACACATAAACCAATAAAATCGGTTCAGTGAGAGCTGAAAATTTTTATGGACAGACATAAAAGAAACACATCATCATAAAACCAATAACGTCTCTGTTCTTATCAAAGTTAAAAAATTGGGAAGAACTTATCTTATTTTTCTTCTCTCATAAAAAAAATATTTATACTTTTTATACATATATTTTTAATTTTCGGGAGCCTTCTAATGTCTCTTCGTGAGTAACTTGCGAACTAAGCGCCAAATTAATACTGCCCTGGGACGACTAAACCGTTAAAACGCTACTGTGAAAACCTAACGCGTCCCACTGGACCAATTTTGCCAATGATGTCAAAAGGTCACAAACCAAGTCTAACTGAAGCTATCGGTGCTATAATTTAGGGAAAGCTTTATGTTAAAGGTGAATGTGTCCAAAATATTGTTGTAAAACAGATGATATTGTTATTTTTCACTTTACATTGAAATAATTTTTGAAATCTAAACGGATCATTACGAAATTTTGGTTAACAATATTTTGCATACTATATTTTTCTGAACATTATGTAATTGTAAAACTTTTTAAACCACTTCTAAGACACCCAAATCAATGAAAGATTTCCATAAATTTGATTCTACGATCACCAAAGGTAATTTCAAATTTATATAAATTATTTAGTGTTAAGAAAAACTAACATGGATATCTATTTACTATTGTATAATCAAAAAGACTAAAATAATCGTTACAAATATATAAAGTTTCGTACCCTGTATGAGTAAAATAATAAAAACGTTCTGACAATTTTTCTTTTATGAATACATCAATAACATTTTAGATTGTGCTACGTATAATACCCATAATTATTGTATGAGTACTATCCGGGTGTATGATTTGGATCATACACCTGGTAATACTGTTTATTATTACAAAATTTTATTGTATAACATGGTATTATCTTTTTGTATGATAAGAATAATAATTAATAACCCTACCGCATAAAAACAGATTAATTATTACCGTTAAAGTAGTCTGCTTAAATTAATTATGCATTCATAGTATTTATTGGTATATTATCATGTACTTGGTAACGTTAACCGAATGAATATCTTCCAACACTTTTTATTTTATTTTTCAAGAGTTTCTATCAATTTTCAATACAATTAAATTTCATACAAATAAATTGAGTTTTTGTAAAATAATAAACATTCTGTATCAAATTTGGTCACTTAATTTTACCTTTTAAGTAAAGTAATAATTGATATTCAAAAAAAAAAAATGACTGAGTTTGATGAAATTGATGGTAACAATATTTTAGCTCAATCTCTTAAAACACAGGTGATGAACATTAATAGCAATTTTTAATGATATTTTTCTTATAGTAGTCATTTTATTATAGGGAGTTGAATTTGTATTTGGAATTGTTGGTATACCAGTCATAGAACTTAGTATTGCTATGCAACAAGCTGGTATCAAGTACATCGGAATGCGAAATGAACAAGCAGCTGCTTATGCTGCTCAAGCTATTGGTTATTTAACACGTAGCCCAGGAGTTTGTCTTGTTGTTTCAGGTCCAGGTTTGATTCATGTTCTTGCTGGCATGGCTAACTCTCAAATAAATTGTTGGTTGGTTCTTAATTTAATTATGAATAAACCTTGCTAAAAATTAAAACTAAATTCTAACTAGGCCTTTACTAGTAATTGGTGGTTCTTGTGCTGAAGATCATGAAGGTATAGGAGGCTTCCAAGAATGTCATCAAGTTGAACTTAGTAGACCTTATTGTAAATATAGTGCTAGACCACCTAATGCAAATCTTATACCAGTACACGTGGAAAAAGCAGTTCGTTATGCTACCTATGGTAGACCTGGTAAATCATTAGATTTTAATATTATTATTTTTCAAAATACAATAATGTTAATATTTTATTTTTGCAGTTTATTATTTTTATAGTATTATTATTATAATATAAATTTTTATTCTGCATAAAAAGTTATAATAGTATTTTAAAACTTATTTCATATAATGCCAACCTATATTTTTATAAGATTCTTGTTTTTTCTTTCTGAAATTTGAGATCAATGGAAATTTTGACCAATACCTCTTTGATGTTGGCTTGAATTTGTTGTTAAACCCAACCAGAAAAAGCTAAATACTCCTTTTGTCCCCCTTAATTCACTTATGTGTATAATATTTTATATAATCATTGTAATAGTAAAAAACATTGTTGGCAGATATAAGTATAATTTTCCTTCCTTGAAGATATTTTTAATTATCACATGTTATCTTTCAAGTATTTTTAGAGGCGAAGTTCTTATAAGTTTCCCCATAATATGCTTTTGTTAACAATAAGTATACAAGGTATTAGTTAGACATTTGATCTGTTTTTTTTTTTTTTTTTTNTTTTTTGAGAGAAAAAATTCAATACCTTTACTGATTTAGAATTTAAAAATTTAGTTTTCAAATAAGTTTTAAATATAAATGCAACAAAAATTCTTTAAATAATCAAATTTATTAAAAAATAATATAGTTTTGGATTTAAAATCCTGTAGAAAATATAAAAAAACTTAATTTTCTTGTCATTTTTATATATTATTTTTATTTAATAATATTAAATTTGATTATATTTTTAGACTTTTAAAATGAATATACAAGTCATATTGAATATAAAAGTTTTAAATATAAATTATGATGTTGTAGTATTTTTTTATTTATATTTATATTGTATTTTTCTGTTAATCTATATCCAGACGATCATCTATAATTGATAATAATCACTATTAAAATTTTTTATATTTTAGGTGCTGCCTATTTAGATTTTCCAGCGAATTTGTTATCAGCTAAGGTTTCTAATAATTTAGTGCAATATAAACCAACAATATTAAGTCCACCAATAATTTTTCCAAATATTAGTAATATTAAATCAGCTGCTGAACTTCTTATTCAAGCAAAAAATCCTCTTATTATTGTGGGAAAAGGTATACTCATTTTTTTTTTTTTTTTTTTTTTTGTTAGAATTTATGTATAATTGTAATATTTATTTAGGCGCTGCTTACAGTCATGCAGAAAATTCTGTTCGGAATTTAATAACTACTAGTGGTTTACCATTTTTAGCTACACCAATGGGTAAAGGAGTTATGCCTGATGATCACAATCTTTGTGTAGCATCAGCAAGAACCTTTGTTCTACAAAATGCAGATGTTATACTTTTACTTGGTGCAAGATTAAATTGGATACTTCATTTTGGTAAACCTCCACGATTTAATTCTGGGGTGAAATTTATTCAAGTTGATATACATCCAGAAGAATTACATAATAGTCAGCAAGCTAGTGTTGCTATTCAAGCAGATATTGAAGCAGCAGTTGATATTTTAACAAACTACTTAAAAGAAAAAAATTGGAGATGTTCAAGAAAGGAATGGTTAGAAAAAATTAAAGATAAATGTTCTGCTAATAAAAAATATATACAAGTTTGTTTTTTTCAATTCATAAACTATATGTGTAATAATTGTAATAATTAGGAAACATTTAATATTATAGTCAATGATGATGGATACATCTGTTCCATTAAATTATTACACTGTGTTTTATCATATTCAAGATAATATACCTAAAGGTAAATATTTTTATTTTATATAAATATGTAGCATGTATTTTTTAAAAAGTCATATATTTAATTTTATTTTTTAGACTGTATAATTTGTAGTGAAGGAGCTAATACTATGGATATTGGAAGATCAATTCTTTTGAATAATTTGCCAAGACATAGATTAGATGCTGGTATTATTTTTATGATTTATACATTAAGAGTATTAATTAGTCTAATTTTGTGACTTGGATTTAAAAGCTGATAAGTCATAATAATAGGTTATTGCGATTGTAAATGATATGTGTAGTAAACAATATTTTTTTTTCATTTAAAAAAATTACGTCTTAAATTTTTGAGGTAAAAGAATACATAAATATTTTTTATCATCCTTTTCATTGAAATCAAAATTTATCTTTAACATTTGATAATTTATATCATTAAGGTTTTGAATCCTTTCATACTCTTTGGCATGCCTTTAAATAGAACTAATAATTACAACTAAGTTTAAGGTATTTTAATAAAATATTTAAACTTAATTTTAGGTACATTTGGAACCATGGGTGTTGGTTTAGGTTTTGCAATAGCTGCTGCTTTATGGTGCCAACAATATAAACCTCAGAAAAGAGTATTGTGTGTAGAAGGTGATTCAGCTTTTGGATTTTCTGGAATGGAGGTTGAAACTATGGTTAGGTTAGTTTTAAAAAATATTTTTAGATAAAATCATTTTTACACATAAATATATATTTTTTATTAATATTTTAGAAAGTTAAAATATTATAAATTTCTACATGTGTATTCCTATCCCAAGTTATCATATATTATATATCTATGAATGTAGATGTATAATTTTTATTTATAAAAATAATAGTTGCCGTAGTTTTTACAAATTTGTAATAATTTATTTTAGCCTGCAAGTATTGTAACTTGGGGGTCAAAGAGTGCTTATCTACAATAATAATAAAATTTATATTTTATAATAATTACTAAAGAATTTTTAATTATGATAACAAAATGATTTGAGTTTCCTTTAGTAGAATTAAAGATTCTTGTTCAAAGGTACAGAAATTGTTAGTAACTTCTGAAATATTGGTCCAAGAGTTATTATAAACTATTTTAAATTTTGGGGTATTTTGTTATGTAATATTAAATGGTGATGGTCATTATTTATGCATTAGTCATATTTTGGAACTTGTAATTGTTGTGGTGCACATGAGTTATCTATTTATATTAGGTACACAACTAAGTTTTCACTTTTTTATATAGATGGCTCCTGCAGTAAGTGTTGGTTGATTTTGTGTGTATATAAATATACATGTTGTGAAGGTTATGCTGTGTATCTGGTAGACCCAGGTTGGTATTATTTATTATGAGCTGTTGAAACTAAACAAAACTATCAACGGTATAGACTTCAATTGATGCAAATTAGCCTAGCACTGCGCAAAATATAACCACAATAAAAGCAAAGAAATGAAAAAGTGATTTTACTGCTTGACAAAGCCTTTTTTTTTCTAAGGTTGACCCTTTGTTGTTGCGATAAACTAACACCACAGTGTTGTGACTCAGTCTGAAATTAATCAAGAGCTGAGTCATAACATGGCATGGTCTTCCCCATTAGCCGGATCTCTAAGTAGGATCCGTTGCCTAGATTGCACCACGTGGCGGTGGAGGCAGGACTTTGCAATAGTTGGCAAAATAACTCACAAACAAAGACAAACACTTAAAGATACAAAATTCTAATGAGCCGGTCTCAACCAGCGCCTCAGATCCTATTATACCAGGTGACGTGGCTGCCTCTCTCTAGCGTTCCAATTCCTTCTTCTTTTCAAAAATGATTTAGCGAACGCCTGGATGAGCCAACATCATGTTATCCTAGCCTCTCCCAGGACAATGCTCAGCCTCATGTTAGCAAACCCATTAAAATTTATATAAAAACGCTCTAATGGAAGTCACCCATCATATTTGTCAGATGTTGTACTGTCCAATTATTCTTGTTCCATTCCATGGCACATGGTATGGTCAGCATATAAAAGTGGCTTGATTCATGTATATCCTTAAAAAACGGAAACTTTTATGGTAACAATATTTGAGCTCTGTCAGAAAGATGGTAAAATGTTATGGCTAGTGTTGGGAAATACTTTGAAAAATATATATGTAAATATTTTTTCATAATTAAATTGCATTTTTATGGAAAAAAATAGCGAGAACTTAGTTGCACACTTAATATAATTATAATGAATTGTTTTTTTATCAATTATGATCCATAGTGTATATCAAAGAACTCAATTTTCTATGTTTATTTTACTCTTAATGTCATTTTCACCAAAAATGTCACTTGCATCTTTTCTGTAATAGAGTATTGATATGATTTATTATATTCCCTACTTAGTACTGTGTACTAAACATATTGAAGTAAATTTATCAAATGAAAATTTATTATAATAGGTATAAGTTACCCATTGTCATAGTTGTTGTTAATAATAATGGGATTTATGGAGGTGTTGATGAAAATGTCTGGGCTGCATTTCAAGATTCAGATTCTTTACCTAATACGTAAGTATTTTTATAATTAATAAAAAAAATAATAATAATTTATCTGGTAATTTACATAGTTTTTAATTTTAGGACACCTCCTAATTGCCTCTCAGTTAATATTCATTATGAAAAAATATTGGAAATGTTTGGTCGCAAAGGTTATTTTTGTACAACTACTGAACAAGTGTCAATTGCTATAAAAAATGCATTTAAAGTAAAATAATTTTCTAAAAATACACAACAATTATACAATTAAATTCATTATATATTTTTTACAATTACAAACAAATGTTAATTTTGAGGTTGTAAAAATAATTATGGTACAAATAAATAATGCTTTATTGTTTTTAATATTATAATGGGATTCTTATTCATTATATTTTATTAAAAGTTAACTTCAAAAAATTATATTAGTCAAATTTTAAATTATAGTTGTTTGATTGAAATTATTAATTTTATTATTTATTTATTTATTCATTTTTTTTCTAGGATAATAGTGGTCCATCACTTGTAAATATAATGATAAATCCATCAGCTGATAGAAAACCTCAACAGTTTGAATGGCTAACTGAATCAAAATTATAATAATATTAAAATATAACTAAAAATGTATACAAATTTAATTGAAAATTATGTTATAATACTGGCTTAGTCTATATCATACATATAAAAAATTGTTGTGTAGATTAATAGGTTAGTTATTTAATAATTTTTATTTTAAAGTAAATAATATGTTTGGATGTTACACAAGTTCATGATTTTTCAATGGCCATGTTTTTAAACTAAATTATTTATTTATTTTATTAAAGAAATTCTTGTGTAACATAATTACATATACATAAGCCAATTAGTGTAACATTTATTAGTATATTTAGTTACAACATTTTATAATTAAACTGAAAAATTATTTGTAATCGTATGTTTTTATACCCTAAAAAAAGGCTTCCATAGATTATCATACATCTTGATTATTGTAAAAATTGAAAATTGTGTCATAAAATCAATTAATACAATTTATTTATTTTTTTAAATAATGTCTAATATTATTTAAATAAAAAATTAATTTAATAGGAATTTTATGGCATGATTTATAAAAAAACATTATTATTACATAATGTTGTAATAAAAATATAAAATATTCATTATTTTACAATGTCAAAACATATAATTTAAATAACAGCAATGATTAGAAAATATTTACAATCCCATATATATTAAACTAATTGTATGATTTTATGAATTATATTACAAATATTGAAATATTATAATTTATTTAGCTAAATAATACATAAAACAAATGTTATTTATTATTTTTGTTGTATAATAGTCTATTTTTACTATCATATTATTCTTTTTACATATATATTTGGACTTATTGTTTGTTAAAAAATATTTTTGTAGTTAATTTATAAGTACATATAATGGTATAATTATTTTCATATTTTTATAATATATCAATAAAAATAAATAATACTTATATGAGATCGCCTCGTGTTATAATAATAATAATAATATAAATATTTTATAGATTTTTTAAAACAGTCACTAACATAAGAGTATTAAAGGAGTTTTTTGAATTAAGATTATTTTTATTATTATTTTACTATTATGATAGTGATTTTAATCACTGTCAGGTATCATATATACTTGTCCCCAATGTGCTATCTTTTTTAAAATACAGGTTGGCAATAATTTATTGTTAATAAAAGTATATGTTTCAAAAATAACTAAACCGCAGTTAATACATTATATCTGCAGTTATTTCGATTTAATGTATTAGATTGATTTTAATTATTCCAGAATAATTTAAATGAAAATTCATAGTAACACTTAATAATTATTATTATTCATACTATGGATTATGCGTTAGATCTAAGTGTAATTATTATTTTTAAAAAACTTAAGAGAGTAATATATTCAGAGTTATTAATAAGAAGGTGCTAATTTTTTACATTAGAAATAACTTTATTATGATTTATGAGGCGTTTATAATTTCAGTATACGGTTCTTAATACAATAATATTAATAATAATGTTTGATTAAAATAGAATTTCAATAAGAAATGTCTATATCCTATTCAGAGGTATATTTTTAAGAGAGTCACTGAGTTAAAATCCTGTTTTTTCTAGAGCCAAGACCTAACCAAAACAAGAATACGACACGATCAGAAATTTTTTGAACGAATGTAACTTGATTTTAATGACATTTTACTTTTTTTGTTCTAAATATAATTCAAAATTGCTATCAATTTAAGAGTAAAGGGTAAAATAACTAAAATTTTTACTACTTTCTCCAATCCTAATTTAAAAAAAACCCATAAAATGTTTAAAAAATACCTATAATAAAATCGGCGTTATGTTATAAAATTTTTATAAATGTGGATTTAATTTTTATTTGATCATACAGAGTTTTTATATTATCAAGTGTCATTTAAAATGGTATTCATTTGAAAAATGTTTATTAAAAAATTACCGTCATAATATACAAATACATATCATATTATAGTAATGAGAAGAATAGATACTCCCAAAAACAAACATATTTACATTGTGTAGATGATAATTTTTTGTTTTAAGAGAGATTTAACAGTTTTTATGTATTTTTTTTATATCCCTTCCAGAACAGAACTCTAATTACGCCGCTAGCCGACGAATAAATTACTCGAATTAGTGAATTAATGTTATTTCAATATATAATTAAAAATATTTAAACGAAGTTAGATCGTGTACATGAATCTTGCACCTACCTAACATTTTTTTTTTTGTACGTTTATTTATATATATTAATTATAAATTCGAGAGTCTCTATATCATTAATTTAGTACTAAACACAAGTAAATTAGAATATTCGAAATAATTCAAATTATAGGCAAGTGATTTTAAGTTACAGCGTAAACAAAAAAAAATATGACGAGTAAGAATAGGCAATACAGCTGAATTATAATAAAAAAAATTAGTATCTATATTTTTCTTTAAAAAAGCTATCTCGAAATGTACAAAAAAAATTTAAAGAAAAAAAAGGAATAATAAGTTTAAAATTTAGACTAAATCTGCAAAAATGTATCAAAAAATACAAAGAGAAAAATTTAAGTAGATTAAAAATTGTAAAACTTGATACTTAGATCGAATCCGCCCTATACATAAACAAAAGTAAAGTTTTAACCAGTTTTATAGAAAACTGAAAAAAATTATTTTGATCAATTACATAAATTTATCAATAATTCAACATAAGTAATTGCAAGTAAAATAAATAAAGCACTGTTTAAAAACTACGTTTTATTGCTGACTGAAATTTTAATCATTTATGATGGCCAACCAGTATGTAGATATATTATTATTATTATATATTATATAAGACAGTCAATTATTAATCAAGTATTCTCATTATTGATAAATCAACAGGTTTTCGTAATGAAAATAATAAATAAATTAGAATTTCAGCGACTTAAAAATGTAAAATCTTTCATTTAATGGCACGAATAAGAATTTATTTCAACTTAAATTAGCAATGTTTTGCAGTGACACCTGAAACTACTAATGTTTGGCTCATATTCTTACGGAATTAGATTAATGTTTTACGAGTTCAACTATTTTATACACTTTTTATTTTACAAATGTAGTCGATTAAATTAATACAACACTCTTAAAAATTAAGTAAACGCAGCACATAAAATGATTTTTTCAGTGATGCATTAGTTGTATACTTGTAAATGTATTAAATTAGTGTCTATTTAAGATTGTCTTAAAACATTTTTAGCTTCCATGCCGTCGACGTAGGTTGGTCAAATATTTTTTGGGAGGGTGTCTAAGGGTATTTTAATTAATTAATTTAATCCCTCCTCTAATTCTACGCATATTTTCAGATTGTAGCTGAGTACATATTAATTTTACAAGGGTGTATTTGTCACAATAAACAATCAGTTTCTACAAGACCAATTATATTCAAAGATAATTCAAAAGATCACAAAGTTTGTAATGCTCACTAAATACAACTAAATTTTACTTTTAAAGTTACCCTTAATAATTTTAATATCGGTAATTCTGTAGTCATTAAATAAATTTTAAGTTTATGCTTATGTAGTATACTGAAAGTAAAGATAAGTCGTTGGAATAAATTTTTATTTTAATGTATAAACAAATTTCGAAATTAAACAAAAAATTTAATTTTCGTATAAAAAAATCATAGGACAAGAAAACGTTATAAGTAACGTTATAATTATAATGTTTATAATGATACATTTTGTCAAACGTAGTATCAAAATTATAAGACATCAATGAACGTAAAATATTGTTAAAAATGGTAAAACTTATTACGTAAAACAGTTCTTATTATAACAAAAATAAATATTTTTCAAACGTTATATTTAACGAAAAATTTAAGAAAGAAATAAATTGTCATTTTCCATATCAAGAACTATTTATAACAGTAAATCATCTATCAAATTCATAAACATAAAAATGTAGTAACGCTTTAATATTAAATACATAAAACTTAAAAATTATATAACGTTCAAATGTTGGATAACGTTGAAATGTATTTAAGCGTTAAACGAAAAAATGTTTAATCTAACATTTTTAAAATTAAAATTTTTTGTATTAAAATTATTTTCTACTTCTTATTTTCTATTATTAGTGCCTATACTTCAATCTAAAAAAACCCAGACAGTGGGGACGTGGCATAGTTGGGTCAAGTATAATGATATTTGACAGTGATTAAAATCACTATCATAAAAAACACTTCAATTCAAATTTGTAGATAGTGTTTATTTTAAAAAATTAGTGGATTATTCCATAAGCTACATGATCTCCTATTACGTTATTTATATCCTGATTACAAGTTTTATGATGTATAAGTGTAATATACGAATAAATATATAAAGGGTAATGATCCGATTTAGTCGGATAGTATGTCGAATGAAAGTGGTATATAAATAGTATTTATCATAAAAAAATTGTGTTGATCCATACATTTTTTAAAAAGTCATGTAAAGTCAAACATGTAAAATATAAAATCGAGAATTTTCACACAAAAATAGCATATGGTTGCCATTTTCATCGTGACGACAAAATAAAGTCCAAAATATTTTTTTCCATGATAAAGTATATTACATTAGCTTTAATTTAAAATATATATAAAAGTGTTAGTGTTTCTGAAACACTTTCAAAAGTTAAGTTGAAAAAGTTAATCTTTTGTTAAAAAGTTGTCATTTTCTCAGTGGACAGGTAAAGGGTCATATTTATAAAAAAATATACCAAATAATAGGTAAAAATATCATGCATCTATAAAAAAATTATTTTGATTTGATCATGTTTGAAAGAGTTATGACAGTTTTAAGTAAAAAAATGTCGAAAATTAGCGATTTTTAAATTTGTAATTTTTTTGAAGATTTCCCCTATTTACGAGGGAATTTTTTCAATTTTTTAGGGTAATGTCTTCGACTAGATACGATTTGTGATCTTTTGACATATCGTTGAAAGAAATCGGTTCGGTGAGAGCTAAGAAAAGTGGTAACAGACACAAAAAAAAACACATCATAGTAAAATTAATACCTTCTCAGTTTTGCGTTGAAGCTAAAAAGTATATAAAATGGGGTTAGTACCACTTAGAAAAAAGTGTTACAAAGTATAATTATTTTTAGAGTAGATTATTGCATATAGTAGTAGTGTCTCGTCTAATAAGCATATTAAATGGAGTTTTTGGGGTCTTCCACTCCTTCTGAAAAAGTATATTAAATATACCCAGGATCGGACTAAAATCAATATGAGGCCTGGGATCTCTTAAAATATAGATAATTTCTTCACAGGGGTAGCTTCATATTCCAAATTAAAAATAATGGAGAGGGACGTAACATAAGCTATTGAAGGGACTAATTTATACATTAAAGGGATTGACCCCTTAGGTCTCTTCTAGTAGTAATAGTGGGTAGCTCTAGCTTATATTAATAAAGTAGTTAACTAAATTAATTTTAGTAAAATCAATTTTTGCTACGAAGACGAAAAATATTTTAGTTTTAAGAATATAATTAACCTAAACAACTTATTTTTTTTTGTTTTATATAAAATATTTTTATGTAAAAATTTCAGTAGTCTACACTAAAGAAAATATCCACAACATTTTAACTTCATAAGTAAATAAGTATGAAACGATAAATCGTATATTAAATAGTATCATTTATTAATATGATTCAAGATAATTGAAAAAAAATATGACAAAAAAAGTATATATCGTGTTTTTACATTTACCGCACATATCTGAATAAGCTCCAAAAATCTTTGGGCCCTAAAGACTATCTCCTCTTAGACCCCCCTCTAATCTGGTTCTGTATAAATCCAACCTTGTGGTTTACGATAACATGCAATATCAATTTTTACTGAAATTATAATCAAATAACGAAGGTCGTGTATTGAAACTATTTGAAATACTAAGATAAATAATTAAGATTTAAAACAAACTTATAAATCAAAGACACTTAAAAAATTAATGTTAAAGAAAGAAAGTACTCTGTCAAATATTTGAAAATATTTGACAGAGTTCAAAGTATGTACAAGTGATAATTATCACCTTTACATAAAAAATTTTTTTTGTTTAGTTTAATGAAGTTTATTTCTAGATTATATCAATATGTATAATAATAATAAGCGAACTTGGCCTCAAATCAAATAATTTGTGAAATGATTTTGCTTTTTATTTTCACAGTTATTGAGACATACAATACTCACAGTTAGGAGTATAGCAGTGTGTCATTGTCGCGCTGACTAACTACAACATAAAAGTCTTATTGGATAAATCAATGATCAATAATCATTAGAGTGAATTACCAAAATATAATGTTTTACTGAAAAAAGATTTTTTGTACAATTTTCATTATATATATATATTCTATATTTTTGAAACATTATATATGATAATTATATTTGAAATAAATTAATATAAAAAAGTTATTATTCTTAAAAATTTAGATTTTATGCCACTACAACGAGATGGTAGCATATTTACGGGGAGGGGACCCTGAATTTGCCAGCGATTTTCTAATTGAATATAATAAAAGTTCCAAATTACTAATCCGTATTCTAGAACTCTAATCAGGAAAAATAAATCACACGTCCTTTGCGTGAAGAACTTTATGTACTGTTTTTTTTTTGTGCATTATTTTCTATTGAAATTCTTTTGTTCTCGTTTGTAAAAATTGTAAAGTGGTTATATTTCCTAACTCATAATTATATTTTTGCTTCAACTTTTTAGTTAAAGAAATTTTGTTATACAGAATGTATTATATATATAGATCCGTTTATTTTTATTATAAAAGGTGTTTATAAAGTATAGAACAACACATTTTTTGATATATCAAAAAATATGTTATTCTTGTACTCTATATACTCTATATAGAGTGTTCTATAAATATAAATCAGCATATTTTTAAAATACAGAATGATCATTAAATACAAAACCTACAATTTTATTTTAGAGTAATCAATAGCGATTTTGTAGTGATTCAAAAAGTTTTTAATCGTTCATGTTCTTAGACTTAAATAAAGAAGAGCTACAAAAATAAAAAAACGTATTTATTTTTAATTAAACAATTGCTATATACGATTATAAAAATTTAAGAAACCATAGAAATGTTCAAATTTTATAGAAGCCATGAAGTTTAATTAAAACTTTGAGTTTTAAATCCTAATATGAGCAAAATAAAGAAAGTTTGATTTAAAACTTCACTTAGTTTTGTATACGTCTCTCAGTTTTCTACATAAAAAAAACAATTTACTGGGAATAACTTTTATAAAAACTATTTTATTAACAGATGTCGCTTCTTGTATCGTATGTAGTCCAGTCCCAACTTACACATTTTTGGGGGTCCGGAGCAGATTTTTTAATAGGTCCCAAGAAAAAAATTTTCTTAAAAAATGCAAGCAATGTTTTTATAAAAATTTCAAAGGTCAAAAATTTGATAATAATATAGTTGTTTTACAAATTAGGTAGAATACAAGATTGGCTTTTATTCCTTTGTAAGCATATTATTTGTTGGGCCATGGCACACACTTTAATCCAGGACTAATCAAGTGTCAATCTGAATTTTCTCAATGGAGGTGTTTTGATTAAATTTGATAATAAATTTATATTAAGTCTTCTCTTGTTATTTAATTCTTGTGTTTGAGAGGATAGGAAAAACTGTACGGCACGGCAGAACAGAATCAAACTCCGATATTTATTTACCGAGGCATGACACGTTCATGACTTAACTATGCAGAATGTTTAAGTGAAAATAGTTAAAATTCAAGAGGTTTTTAGACGATTAGCATCAAGCATATTCTGAAAATATAAGGTAGCCACATTTATTTTTAAATATTGGTAACCACAAGAACAAATGAAGAAATATTTGTATGTACAAAGTCTTAATGCATTTTCGTTAATCATTAAAATAATTGTAATGGAATAAGTATTTATTTTTTTTTACGTCTCCAATAATATTCTCCATAATGATCTCTCCACCTCAACAGTCCAAAAAACTGCCAAAACATTCTACAAGCGTTTACACTCTAAAACTTTATACCATCAAAACCCTCTGATCTATCCATCCACTCTATCCCTGGTGACTCCAGAAGCCGCCTAAAGCGAACATGGTGCCGCCTATTGATTGATTAATCCACATTTTCACACGTCATAAAGAACCAGCACTGGTTGGCTTATTCTATCAAGCCTACTGCTTTTGCAGTATTTGCTTAACATGAATATCATTTGTACTTATTGTAATTACATTTATTACATATTGTACGATTTCAAATAAAAGAAAAAAAAATTATTTATTTTAAAAAAGTATACCAAAAAATATCTTATTTGACAAGTGGAAAAAATACTTTTTCCAATTGTTCATTTAATACATGAAGCTCATATTTTAGGAATTTCAAGCAAAATATTATCTAATAAAATAATAACATTTTTGAATGATATTTGCCTTATAGTATTCAGATGGAATAAAAACGTCGTAATCCTAATTCTAGATTATTTATTATTTTTGTTAAAGGTTCAACTTAAAAAAAAGTTCAGTTAACTTAATTTTCTAAAAATGTACATATAACCTTTTGTTATTATAATTATCAATTATTTTTTCGGAAAGTAGAAAAAAATAAGTACTTACTATTTTGAAAAAAAAAAACAATTAAATTTAAGATTAATGGTATTATTAGGTGTTGCCGTTGGCTTGTCATGTAAGAATGAAAACAATTTAACATATACTATTTTAGTGTATAATAAATGTTTCCGTTCTGATAGTAAAATTTTCTTTGTAATAACACCAGTAATCTATTTTCATAAAATAATAACAACGATTATTATTTGTAATGTTTAAAATTTAAGTAAGGTAGGTGTGAGTAATAAGGCATAGCTAGACTTTATGCAAATCTTAATATCTACTAGATCTTTTACAAGCTTAGCTAGACATCATTACCTAAACCTAGCTTATAATATTTTTAATGCACTAATAAAATTGTTATTTAAAAAACTTTTTGTAAGATAGGAGTATATTTTTTCTTAAGTGAATAATAAAAAACAATCACTATATCGATACGTTATGGCGATAAAAAAAACTTATTTGGCAATCGGTCTGACTGAGACCTTGGATTGATGGAATCCCATGGTGTCGTCAGGTGATCAAGGTAAACCCTGTGGGACGCCATGGAACACTACTCAAATGCTTAGCATAACAACATTCATTATTATTGTTTTATTAAATAAAAAACAACCATGAGCTATGAATCTATATGGTAAATAGTAATATTTATTGTGTTTTACATCGATTATAATCGATGCAATATTTAATACAATAGTTCATAATCGACGGGAACTCATTCTGCAATGTCCGTCCTCGAACTAACGCGAAAAATCAACACTGGGACCCATTGAAACCTAAAATTACAGCTTAAAAATAGATAAACTAAATAGCGGACTAACAAAAAAAAAAAATCAAGGCAGTAAATATATTGTTTTAAATACATTTTTTTATTGAATATTTTTATTAACCTCAGAAAAAAATGAAACATGTTTCACATGTTGTGTAAAATACTTGAAATATTTATATATATATTTATATATATATAATACATATACATATAGACATATATTTTATACAATTATACATAAATAAATAATTTTGCCATCGGAAAATGTGTTGTACAACAAACTTAATAGTTGTGTTAATAATAACTTTTATATCACTAGAAAATATACAATTTATTTTTTCTGTACGGTTATTTTGTACAACTTGTAAATTAAAATAGTTCAACAAAAAAGAAAAAAACAAATTATTAGCCTTAAGTACCGAACCATCACAACGATAAAAATAAAATTACATAATAATTTGTTTAAAAGCGGAACAACGAAATTTAATACAAATTGAGCATTAAACGAATTAAAAATTATACAATAATAGTTAAAAAATTAACGTTTTAAACTAATTAGTGAAAAAGTACAAACTTTTCAAAGTAAAATTTGAATCCTACATAATTAGGTTTTAAGTTAGGAATTTGTTAATTACTTTCGTGACTCGTTGACTATACTATTACAAATGGTAACAATCACATGAGAAATTCTTTAATTGTTTGGCGATTTTTTTTTATTCATTCAGCAAGTCAAAAAAAAACAAATATAATTTACAATTTTACTGAGATCCATAAAGCTGACCTCTAGAGTGCTCAGAACATTTTCGAAATTATAAATATATAAATAAATATTTGTATATATTTATATAAATATAATAGCAAATAAGAGAGAAAATGTAATTTGACTTGAAATAATTGAAATGCGTTTTTCTCTAGTTAATTCAATTTCAATTAGTTATTCTTTTTAATGTACACATCAGTCTTGGTACAGACAATCTTTAAAAAAAATATTGAAATTTTCATTTTATATTTACAAATTAGGTCAGCTATGAAGCTGGGTATGATCAAATCATGTATACTCATCAATAACTTAATACCAAAACTTAATTTATATATTATGGTTACAAAACAAAACATTAAATCGAGCACGTATGAGTGACGACGACGAGAGTGCGGTGGAAAATATCGACCAAAAATAATAATAATAGTAATAATAATAATAACAACAACACATTTTATACAATAATAAAACGATTGACATATTTTCTGGAAGAAAAAGTTTTGTCGATTTAATTTAAAATAATTTAAGTCGACGGGTGAGAGGTATGGTCTCTTTTTTTGTTATCACTGACGAATTTATCACACACAGCAACGTTGCTCGACCTGCTAGTGAGGTGGGACGAGGTAATTAAGTTCACTGAACTTTATCCTTCATACCATGTAACAGGTGTTCAGACATAATAGACGATGGGCTCGGTTGGTGTGAGTAGTTGCGTATGTGATGCAACGAGATCAGTTGGTTTGGAAAACTATTGGGCATCGACACTGAAGGAGGCTTCATGTCCATAGGTCCTGCCATAGGTGACAGTTGATGGCCGTGAGCGAGCTGCTTGGCTCCCGGGAATGGTAAATGATTGTAAGGCAAATACATGGGAGGACCCGGGTTGTGTTGTTGATGGTGATGTTGTTGATGATGCGATGGAGGTGGAGGGTGTCCTGGTAGACCGAACGATTGGATAGGTGTAAACGCCGACGTACTGGTCTTGGGCACTGAAGATTCCGAAAGATATTCGGGTGGTGCTGGTGGCAAGTGAGGGTGACGAGAAGGCTGATCGTCAGCAGAAGCCGATGCGGGTGCTGAGCCGGGACCACCGCCGTTTTGCATCGATTCGCCATTGGCTCCGCTCTGCTGCTGAAGACATTCTTGCTGCTGTTGATTAATAGCTTCAACTAAATTATTGGCTGTATCAGGTGACATTTTGCCCCAATATGCTCCATTCTCTAGCGCCACTCTGGGTATGCCAATAATAGGTGGCCTTTTGTCCATGCGCTCAGCGTGTTTTTGCATGTGCTTAGAGAGGTATGTTTCTTGTGTATACGATTTTCCACAATATTGACAAATATGAGTTTTGAGATGTTTAGATTCTTTGTGTTTGGGTATATGCTCGAGCAACGCTGTTTCGTCTGTGAAACACTTATAGCACGAGTTGCACTTAAATGGTTTATCTGTTTGGTGACATCGTGAGTGTGATTGAAGGTTAGACAATTGCGAAAACGCCTTGGTGCATCCAGGATGTCGACATTTGTAAGGTTTGTCTCCTGTATGGGTGCGTATATGCTGCTGTAGGTGACTGAGTTGTGTGAAACGGCGTTGGCAAATGTCACAACGATAAGGTTTAATTCCCAGATGGATGCGGGTGTGCTGACTCAAGTAAGAACTGTTGGCGAAAGTCTTGTTGCATTGGTGACATTTGTAAGGTTTGACGTCTTTAACGTGCAACTGCGAGTGAAGTTGGAGTTCTGACTTTGAAGAGAAAATCTAAACAAAAATAGATATTATTAGTATTAATTGTGTTAAGAAATAATGATGTTAACAATTCTACAGTTTAGTTGAGTTTATTATTATTATTTCTTTTTTTACATAAAAAAAACCAGTTCATTGTGTTGGTGTGACTGCTGTGGGCGTGTTCAGGTTTCTAGATGTTCACTTAGGATTATACATTTCTACCGTCACCACAACACGGACCAGACACAACAGATAACGAGTTACGGATATTCGGGCGTACGTCCAAAAAACCGCAACAAGATTGGTCGAGTAGAGGGGAGAAAAAATAGAATTTTCAGAGCAAAAGTTAAGGTCAAGGCGTCCGAATATAGATTATTAAACGGCTGCGGAAGGATTAACAATTGGAGTATATCCAATGTCATCAAAGGGACCAAAAATGTCACGGATAAATTCCATGGTGCTTACCCGTTGTTTTGGACAAAAAGTATCCCAGCGTGGTCGAGAAAGGACAAACGGCACAATATTATAAATTTAATTATCATCGAACGGCGTGTAATATTTATGGTTGTAGGAGGAAACAAACAGCACCTGACGTTTCAGTACGGGAGCAACTCTAAGGGAAGGATAACTTAAATTGGATTGTTTACGGACACCCTGAGAGTTTTCCGATCTTTTTTTGTTCGCTTTCTTACGAACAACAAAGTGGTCTACCCGTATTTGTGCCGTCCAGTCTTTTATACCGGTTTCAGTAAGACGCAGACGGTTTTCGGATAAAACGGGTTACCCCCACCATTAACCATACAACAACCAACATAATGTATACCGATAATTATTTCTAATGTAGAATAGCATCATACCGGCAAGTTGTCTAAAGAGCAAGAGAAATAAAAACAAAAATCGGTTGAAAAAATAATTGAAACAAGAAAAATAAGAATATTGATCAATGTTAGGGTAACTGAATTCACCGCAAATCGAAGGTAGACTGTATGAATTCGGAAAATTCTCATAGAAAATACAACAAGATGACTGTATTTTCCGAGTAGTGATGTTTTTTCTAAAGAAAATCATCATTGTATCTAAATATGATGGCGGCAGCAAGTACAACATATATACAGGCTGATGATTATCTCTCAGCCGTCAGATTTATTCGCTTGTCTGTTTTGGGGTCTGCCGCAATCGTGCGCACTCACACAATATTATTCATCGTAGTCAAGTAGTGTATGGACCGGTTTATTAAATATTTTTTAGAGGCGGCGGGGCCACATAAAATACACAGCCACGCACACGAGACCAAGACACAATATTTGGTCCTGCCAAACAGTTATAATATTATTTTGCCATATAATACACATATTATTAAATACTACACAGTATTTTTTATTTTACATTATTTCGTACGAAACAACAATAATTCTAAGAACACTTTTCTTTTTATATATTCATTATTTGTACATAGAAAATCGATCGCAGAAAATACAAGTAGGCAAACCCACGAAAATAGTTATTTCACAGTGGAAAAAAACAAGTCATATTACTGTTTTAATAATAATGTCCTATTAATAATCATGTAAGTGTATAAACACCGTAACATTTAGCCCTTTTCGTGGAATTTCTGCATCCAGACTATAAGGTAGCTTTGTTAATAAAACATATTTGAATACTCGATATAAATCATTTGTTTTCGTGGAAAGTAGAAGCCAAAAGAAAAAAAACGACCCGGTTTTTATCCACTCGGAGCGCTGTACTTGTATTCATATGCAAACACCACACTATTGTTTCGACTATAGATGTCGTCGCACCGGTTCGTTTTCTCTCTCTCTTTCTCATTAAGTCCACGTGCGACGCAATTTTTTTCTTTTTTTTTATTCATAATTAGCAAAACAACAGCGGTGGTAGCGACAAAAAAAATTACCTGGGTCACCACAGCAGCAGATTTTTATCACACGGCCTTCACAAGACGGACCACAATACTTGGTTTATTTTATTTCGTTATTTATCTTGATTATTATATTTTTATCAGCGACGATAATTTACAAAACAATCGTAATACGGAATAAAGAAGAATAATTAACTTAAATTTTAGACGGTTACGGTAATCGTAAGTGGAAAATACACAAAGTATTTAACGAATTGCTGAAGTCGAGATAAATCGTAAATAGATATGCTGCGGTTTCAATTTGACGTAAGCTAATATAATTTTTATGACAAATTTTCTCTTTTGACTAACAATAACATTAACGAACGGTCGACAGTCAAAAAAAAAAAAAAAAGGTTGGTTCATTGAAAATTACGGTCGTTGCATTTTAAACCACTAATAATTTCATTGCAACATAGTTCAAGTTTTAATTTTTTAACAAAATTACTAATATTATTTGGGCGTCTGAAAGTGTTAGATACATATTTTTTGTGCACTTGGCCAATTTTTAAAACCATACAGAATTACTGTTGGTGTTCTTTATGATTAAGAACTGAAATTTGTTTAAAAATCGTTTAACACGTTAAAAATGGTTTTATTCGGAAAATCAAAAGTGGCAAGATCATTCGGTCGACTTATAGAAAACGTGGACAATGATCTTTGTTATGTAATTATTGTATGTTACAGTTTTCAACAGAGTAAAAACACTAATGGTGTGGACCCAGGACAAGTATGTTCTAGCCACCGTAGGACAAGTAGGTGTAAATCCTATCGAGTGGCAACACCTGAGCGGCGTTCAAGGTCAGAGTGTCGTCTACAAAACGGCTATTAACGCTAGACAAATTTTACGAGACGGTTCCATTCGTGCGTCGGGGAACAGCCGCTGTCGATGACTAAACAGACTCTTCTGTACGCGTCCTCCATTGATCCAATGATAAAATATCATCGTGTGGGGATCGGCACAGAAAAGGTTGTGATATGGACGGAGGCGTGGAATTAGTCTGAGAGACATACACGAATTCCGACAGCCGAGTCTGTTCTACAGCCACCGGGACTCGTGTGTATAATATCATACACACATCATTATGCGGCAACGTACACGATATATTTTCGACGGCGGGTGCTACCTGACTGTCTAGAACGAGTGCGTGTGCAGCGAGCCATCGTCGTCGGCGCAACAATGCGGGCGCGGTGTCAGGCAGTCGCTGTTCGCCGTCGTAGAATTTAGTTTTTCAGCTTAGCATTCGATAACACAAACAAAAGCCCTTTGTGTTGAACAACAGCGAAAACAAAAAAACGAGTTGAAATTTATTGAATTATTACTATTTTGAACTTGACGTGTGAATCGGCAGCTTCGTATAATTACTTAAAAAATAACAATCGCATTGGTGGGTTACCGAAAGTACTCGTTTAAAAACGTTTTGATGTCGATTAAAAAAAAAAAAAAATTCTTAAATCCTCGGGAAAAAACCACGTGTAAACAAATTTTGATACTGCGTTCTCTTGATTTGTTTGGAGACGCCAAACCGGAAATTTCGACCTTAAATTAATGAGCTGTTTGGTGTTTTAATTTTTCTTATCAGTGGGTCACGAAAACCAAAAATTCAGACACTATCTATACTGAATTGATGATTAAATGTGTGTTAATTACAATATTGAAAATTAATATTATCGATTTTATTTAATTGCGAGATTCCCATAGAAAATTAAAGGAAAACCCATTCTGACATTCCACTACGCTGAACGATTGTTGACATAGCCGAAAATCCCAATAAAATAGACATTCAACATTTTCCGACATTAAAACATTTCATCTTAGTAAAATAGGTAAATTCAAACCAACGATATTTGGCATTTTTACTAGATTAAGTTGATTGTTTCTCAACAATAACAAAATTTTGTCTACTATAAATTATGATGAACAAAAAACAGTTACTTCTGAGGCCGAAAAAATAGATATGACTTTAAATTCTAGGAAAAGCAAAAACGATTGGTCAAAACTGAATTTATATTGAACCAGAACGTGTTAAATAATTTAATAAAATTTAATTCGACCGCATTATGTTAAATTAACAAAAATTATAATCCAACGATTCGTAAATAATACACTAAGACACTATTCCACACCGGTTTGTCCAGCTCTGCTCAACAATTATTTTTCGTCCCCAGCAAGAATAGTAATTATCATCAAACATCAAATAACAAATTATTATTATGTAACATAAAACCAAAATCTCAAAGCCACGATACTTTTTACCCAATAAAATCATTAAAAATCAATCCATTTTGCTCACCAATATTAACCACAATCGTCAATCGTTATTCCAAAACATTTTTTTTTACTATTTTATAATGACCTCCCCCTCCCTCAAGCAGAGCACCGTCGCAAAACATCTATTAATAACTAATCATTTTTTCTTTGAAACAATATATATATATATATATATATATTCTATTTACAAATTCTGTCGGTTATAAGCAATTAATATTTTTTCTAAAAAAGATTAAATTGGTATGTTAATGTGTTTTCGTTTGCGAATAAAAATTTAAACGGTCCGTACGAAACACTTGCCAAACCACCAATCTTTTATACAAATATAGATTTAAATAATCTTAAATCTATACTACAAATCTTACAAATACGATTTTTTTTAAAGATAATCATTACAACGATAAAGTAATATTTGTAACGGTAAGAAAAATGATAAATGTCCAACAGTTAATTTAATCATCACGTTGATCGTTTAAATAAATGTGAACAATAATCGTTATTCATTAATAAATAAAAAAAAAAATCAATTTTTTTAGGCGCGTAATTAAATATTAGTTATATCAATGAAAAGTCGACAAGCCGAAGATAGTAACTGTAACGCGAAGTAAACATTTAAATTTGTAATTTCATTGGAATAAATACAAAAAGGAGCAGCGTAATTTGAAGATTACTGGAGAGACACTTGGCGTCTTAAACTCGTAATATCACATTATTTGATTTCCTATTTTTTATACGACAAGTTCGCACTGTCGGGGTGCTTCATTATTAAATAACTAAAACATTGTAATGATAACAATAAAGTAATGGGTCTTACCTCAGGGTTCCCATGGTCTACGCTCGACCATCCGAGACCGTCTCTGCCTTTGTTCACGCCCCGCTTCCTACCGCGACCCTGTAACAGACAATAATATTACATAAGGATGGTGTCGGCATTACATTATTTTGGTGGAAAACAAGTTTAAAAATCAGCGGATTGGCAACGAAACGGCCAGCAGCAAAAGACAAAACCAGAGCGAGTGGTCTAACGCATATATGATTATTATGTAAAATTCGAGGGCGGCACACGTTTCAACAGCACGCGCGTTTAGAGCTGCGCGATATGATTTAAACGAGAAACCGGTTGCTCGGTACAAAAATCTACTAGTTTTGAAAAACACCCTGTTTTTTATTCGCTTTGTGGTGTGTGCACACGCAGCAATAATGTATACACGACATTAGCAAAACAAATTTAAGTGTACGCTATACGCACAAGCCGGTTTTTGGTAACTTAAATAATTCATAAGCGTCGTACGATCATGTTGTCCACCAGATATTATAACTGTTGATTTTGGTCGGAGGTGGTGTATCAAAATGTGCAACGACACAATCGTATTTTTTAGACTTGTGTTACAACTCAACTTCATTTGTGGTGAGCTTGCGAGACGCGCGTCCGTTTTATCAGCTCTTTCGTTGTGCCGGTCTATTAATACGATTTTTATTTTGGCATCAATGACGCTCATAATTTTGGCATCGGTCTTTGCGTTCGAGAAAAAACCGCCGTTTCACCTAAAATGTAAGTGTGCACCACAACGATCATACGTTTTTTAATGACCCCGGCCGTACAATTAAGTCGACCAATTTGTCGATATACGTATGCGCACCGTTCTCCCTCCTCCTACTCCATTGCCACCGCTGCCCGTTCATTACTCCCATCAATTCGGCGGACCCTCTTTTCGGATTATTGCACAATCGTGCCGGTATACTCGTGTATATGTGTATACACTTATGTATACCGGTGGCGGTTGCGTGCAACACACACAACAATAAGCATGAAAAAAAAAAAAAAAGGGAGCGTACAATCGAGTTTTTTTGTTTCATTAACCCGCCCTCTTCTCCCGTGCACGTACCTCGTATGTGTAACTCTTGCGGAAAGGGTGAAAAACATAGATGGGCAGCAAAGCTCAGACCGACGCCGCCCTTCCCGTGTCCGTTGGTAAAATGGAGGTGTTCAGGTCATTCGGTGGTCACCACATCGATGGAACGGACAAACGAAAAAATAAAACGCAAAATTATCGGCACGCTCGATTAGCAGAAGCAAAAAACAATTGCCGATGAATTTCTGTCTTCATAACTCCAACGAACTAAGCACTCCGTGGCCCCATTGTCGACCCAATCCGACCCGCCTAGCGTCAAAATACCTCGCACAAAATGCGGGTATGCTGACGACTTATCATACCGATTAAAAAACGCACGTAGGCTCTCCAACATTATGTTTTATATTTGTCTAGGCTGCCTAACAAATAATAGGAAACGATTTTCTATGATGATTAAATATTTGCCCGTGAAATACAAATAATTTCTTTTTTTGCGAAATTAATATTTCATTCTACAGTATATTACAAACATTGAAACGTCCTATTGCGATTAAATTTTTTTAAAAAAAAAACGTCAGCAAATATTTGCACACCATCAGACGAGTAGACTACTAAACGATTTCAGTGGATTAAATTTTCGGTGCGATATTTTGTCTTCCGAATATTATATTGTTATGACTTTCTGGGAACGGAACGATACCCGTTGAAGATGTAAACTAGCGACGGACAAACCCAACTGAACGAGGAGGGGGGAAGCAGCAGCAGCAGGGCGACGGAAAAGGGGCTAACCCGAAAACAAATATTTACCACGAGCAAACTGTATCGTGTTGGTAGAAGAAAAAAAAAACTATGACACTTGTCAGGTGGTTTGCGCACATGTACCCCGACAGCGATAGATTGTTGTGTACAGAAATTTAATGTCGTATCGGCGACACGCGTATACTTTGCTTGTTCTATCAACTCCCACCCACAAACACCGTGCCAGGAATAATTTTCGACTGCTTCTGGCAGATTTGTCTTCGAGGGGTTCAACAGCAGGACGGGGGAATTTACGATTGTTAAAACCACGACCTCGTGGTGTTTTTCAACTCGTCACATGGTGTCGAGTGGAACCAATTTCGAAAATTCGCCGTCGGCCGACACGTTGCCGGGAAACGCGCTTCGCCCGATGACGGCGGCCATAAATCCTTCGAGTATGCTGCACACGGTTTTTCATTGTGTGGGCGGGTTTCAGCGCACATTTCGAATGTACGACCGAGAAAACTACGGCGTCGCTCGAGTTTTGGAGGAAACAACTCGTTTAATTGTCAACCGTGGCGGAGATTAGTTCCCTGAAAACCGATACGTCCGTCGGAAGCCGCGTTTTCGGTACGAGTAGCAGTGATAAGGTCTATTGCTGTTGGCAACGACTTTTTTGTCGACAGATGGGTGTCCGGTGCGCGATTTGCGTTTGTTTGCGCGTGCAAGGTGCACACGCGCGCAACACTTTTTAGCCGTGTTCGATAATAACATTTATGCGCGACCACGAATCCTGTGCGAGCATATGGCGTTAAATATCGTCTTTGTGCGCGGGGGAGTCTGGTGTTTTTTACGACCACTTCTATTCGTGTAATTATCGTTCATTCTGTATTTCTCTATCGGCCGGTCGTCGGTGAATTTACATTAACGGCGTCGAGTGGCGCCAAACGGTTAAAACAAAAATCGACGGCTACCGGATACGCGACTATTGTACACCAAACGGCCGGTACGCCGCACGTGCACACCGTTTGCTGTTGATGTTTCCGAAAATTATTTTTAATAAGGTCGCAGAAAAAAGGATTGTCGAGAGAGGCGGTTACTGTGCAGCAACGGGCACGGAGTAGGCGGAGAAGCGGAGAGGAGTATAACGGCCGCACGTGGTTACTTACAAGGCCATGCCGTTGCCACCGTCGGAACGGATAAACTCCATTTCCTGAAATAAATTCGGCTAATAAATTCACGGTGAAAAACCGTACGGAACACCTATGGCCGTCGCAGAAGAATTTACTGTGCGGATATCGAGTGACGCCTATTTGACTGTATTCGTTTAAAATCTCAATTACACAAACGTCGCCAACACGACGTGGGCGACGGCAACGAACTGGTCGGACGATAACCGCCGTCAATTTCGTGTGAGTTTTATCTCTCGCCGAGAACCGCAGATAACGACGTCTACGCGGAACCGGTGCATTGTACGCCGCATTGCGCGTGTCGATTTTTTCTTATTCCCAACAGCACGTGTATGTATTCCGAGAGATTCATAAATCGTCCTCGCGTTAGTAACAAGTGTCTCATTAAAATCGTAACCACTGCACACCGAGACGTCTCCTACAAAACAAACACGCCGTTTATACACGCAATAGAAAATCTGATTTCACAACTTTTTGCCACGCGAATAAAATATGTTATTGAGGAAATTTGTATTGGAAATGTCGGCAAATTGTTTTAGGGCACACGTCAGTCGAGTAGCTCAATGTCGTTACTCGAAATACTTACAATTATAATTCCAGATAAACAATGAAAACCAGAAAAAACGTCGAGACTAAGACAATGCAGCAGCAGCAGCAGCAGGTTAGACCGGCGTGTGTATCGAGTGGCCGGCACACACTCCAAGTCCGATAATGAAATGGCACAGGCATATTATAAAATAAATACGGATTTTCAAAACCGAGATAATATATTATTATAGCTGTTATCTCTCGAGTATTAGATTACAACGATGAAAACCGCTTGTTTGAGCATTTCGCACCCGCGTACCAGAACACCTACTGATGACGGCCACTAGAAAATATTTGTCGACTAACAACATTATTATCAACATTGTCGTCTTTGATATACTTATGTTATCATACTTATTTTCGACGGGCGACTCGGCAACGACGCTTTGTAACCTGTTCTAATGTTACATTGATTCATTTATTGTTTTTCAATTTTTACGCTAAAATTGTGTAGTTCGGCTTGATCGGCTCTGACCCGTCGGGTGGTATCGGCCAACGCGAGAGGAATGAACAGAACGCTGATAACGCGTATTGTCGACAAATAATCAAATTTTTAGTCCGTGTAATGACATTTTGCATTATGAGAGCGCGTACATAAATGTAGGTCGATGACAACGTCGCCACCGTATTAATTTTTTGCAGCGATTGCATTAAAACGACATTTTTTTACCGCATTTCTCAACCACCGGCGCTGTATTATTCATTGTGCTGGCGAGACATACCCACAGGTACGTTGATAATAAGGTGCCAATCCCCGGAATTGATTAGAAAGCCAAAGGCCTCAGGTCAACGATATCGTCACTTTTTTTTCAGAGGATCGTAGTGACCGTCACAACCTAAGTGCTTTCTACGAACTACGAATTACCTGAAGAACCACGTATGGCCGCCGTCCGGGAAAACCGAGGATCGGAAGCGAGCACGGGTAAAAAGATGAGTGAAAAAATTGCCATCGTGATTGATTTTCAAACACGCGCTAGTCATTAACAATAGTGCGATCCGTGATCTGGGGATTACATTAGGAGCGCACACGACTTTTACTCATCAGACAAATTTCCAACGGTTCACATAATTCATTACAAGACGAAAAACGTGACATTTACTCGGAAACCGATCGAAATTCACGATGATTTGCTTTTAATAGATCTTAAAAGATATTATTAAAAAAATGGTATTACGAGTAGCTGTTCAGGTTACCTTGTTATATATGGTCTGTTCGTCCGCAGCAGCGGCGGCTGCGGCGGCTTGAGGTCCATTTTGCACGCTGGCCGGCGAGAACCCATAACAGTTCTTATTCAGCTCGTGCAGATTAGGATAATCGGTCCCTAAACAGTTTTCCATGGCGAAATCGTACTTCATGCCGACGGTGTATAGACCGCGCACACGATAAATGTTCACATTGACAATACGTACAAATGATAATTGAATGCGGCCGATTAGAGTTTTAATGAGCTAGGCGTAATTAGTAAAAATATTCGGATCAAAAGCAATCGAGATTATTTTTACTGAATTACTCGGTGGTCGGT